ACTCTGAGATTAGTAATCATAATCCAATCCAAGTTGTTTTAAAATCCAAGAGCCCAGGGAAGGACCAGGGCACCTGATGAGGAAGTGGGAGTGCTTAAAACACTCCCACTTGTTTTAACAACTTCGGAAAGAAATGTTGAAAGGAATTTTTTTAACTGAGTGAGTCCTAACCTTCCACCAAACAAAAGAATTCATTAACTATTATTTCTATATGAACTATGGTTTAACTGATTCCAGAAGTTTTTCTTTTGCTCAGGATGGCCCTCACATAAGAATAAAGGCATACAGTAAACAACAATAAAGTTCATGTACAGAATATGACACCAAAAGTGATGTGACTTCTCCACCAGACTCCTGCACAGAGCCCCTGAGGAGCAAAGGTCAGGCCCTCACACTGGAAACAGGCCCCGGAAAGCAGTCGTGGGCAGCCTGGGCAGATGAAGCAGAGACAGCCTGTGCTCTGTAGCAAGCGTGATCTTGAGTGAGATTCAAACATTTTATAGTCTTTCACTTAAACTATGCTACTTTTCTAGCTGTCTGAATATCAGTATAATACTCAAATCCTCTCTATTTCAAACAGCAGCTATGCTGGCGGTATTTCTGTAAGATTCCTGGCCTGAGGTGGCTGAGATGTGTTCCCTGTGCAGTGACCCAGCAACACATCTACCTGCCTCAAGAGCCCTACAGCCAGCACCCCTGCCACATGACACTCAGACAACAGGAGGGACAATGATGTTCCATTCTTAGAGCTGTGGATTTGATGAAATCTGAAATACTTAGCCCAAATATATAACTATCTTCCAACGTAAAAGGTTATTTAAAAAAATTTTTTCCCCTTTTAAAGATAAAGACTTATTATAATGTCCCAGTCTGGTCCTAAACTCCTGGGCCCAGATGATCCTCTTACTTTAGCCACCTTAGTAGCAGGGACTACAGGTGGACACAGAAATGTTATTTTTAGCCAGGCCAGGTGGTGAAGGCCTGTGATTTTAGCACTCTGGAAAGCAGAGGCAGGAGGATGGAAAATTTAGGTAAACTTATGAAACCCTGTCTCAAAACACAAATTCAAAAAATGCTGAAGATGTAGCCCAGTGCAAAAGCCCTGTGTTCAACCCCCAGTACAACCACCATCAAAATAGTTATTTTCCATGTTACATACTAGAATTATAAAATTAATCATCTTAACTTGCATTGTTAGAAGCAAATTTTATTAAGATTTATGAGATTTGTATATTTTGCTAAAGTTTATGAGAGTTGCTATGAAACACAATACTTCAGAAAAAAAGACAAGATTGTGTTTACTGGGGCATGGGTGGATGACTGATAATGGATGATGTCACTAATAGGCAATTATAACATCCAGCATTCCAAAACTATTTAATAATTTGTTTTGAAGAAATATAGCTTCCAAAAGAACAAAAAGACAATCTAAATATTTATTTGGGTGGTTGCATGCCAAAATAAAGTTACAGATACAAAATTAAGAAATTAATCTCACCTTACAAAAGCATTAATGTTTCATCAGCAATTCAAACATAAAAAAGGGTTCAAAAGTTTTTTGGCAAATTGAACCAGGAGTGTAGCTCAGTGGTAGAGACATTGCCCAGGTGCATGAGAACCTGGGTTTTATCGCCAGTGGATAAGCATGTGTATGCATGTGTGTGTGAATAATTTTAACTACTCAGTGCATTTGTGTGTGTGGGTGCATTTCCCATGGAAATGCTGGAGATGCTCTAGGTTTCCAGAGCAGCCCCAAACCCTAAGTTAACCATCAGGCACATGTATGGCTACACTACACAATGGTGAAGGAACACAAACCTTGTAGAAGCCAAGGAATCTCACATCCTAGGGGTTTTACCCTCACTCTCCCCTGAGTATTTTTCATCTTAAGATGCTTCTGACTCTGAAATTGTTTATAAGGCATATTCTAATAAGGACTGAAATGGGGTTCAGTCTTAATAAAGACAAGGCTCATGTGGCCCAATCAATCAAGCTTTCCCTATGTCTCAAGACATGTTTTCCAAACATCTGAGTAAATCCTCCCATCTCCCCAAAAATGTACAACTCATTTACATTACCATACAGCTATAATATTCCAGAACAAGAAATATTTTTTAATAATATACATCTAAAGATCAGTGCAATGATCCTGCGTCTACTTAGGACTCAGAGGATTTGTCTGTGAAATACATCTTTTCCAGACAAAAACACTCTCTGGTGAGTTGCCACAGGAAAGGCAGATGGGATACAGAAAAGCTGTCTACCTACTGAGGTCAGCACAAAAAGCCTGGTAAATGTTCATGATTTAGAATGGCCATACTAACGATCATTACACAAACCACCAGAGGAAGTTGCCAATAAAAGCTTTAAATTCAGAATATAGAGGTCTGGGGAGATAGCTCAGTGGTCTAAGTGCCTGCCTGGTAAGCACAAGGACCCAGGTTCAATCCCTAGTACCTCACACTGTGCTGGCCCAGTACCAAGCTGGCCACTGAGTCTGGGCGTGGTGGCGCACACCTGTAATCTCAGCTCTGGAGAGGCTGAGACAGGACGATCACTACAAGTTTGAGCTGCGTAGTGAGACCCTGTACCAAATAAATAAATAAATGATTAAAAATTTAAATTCAGAATATTAAATTCAGAGAAGGACTTCTCTGCTTAGATAATCTCTCTTAGATATTACTGTAATTAAATAAAGCATCCACTTGAAGAAACTTAAGTAACAAAACATGCTAGTTAATCTTGCTTGTCAACCTGGCTGGGTAAGTGACTCCAGGCTTGAGAGAGAACTAAACTCACCAATGGGTTCAGGGCTAATCTGGCTATTAGGATGCGGCGCTTAGAGAAAGCAAAACATGGGAGCATGACCTTGGGGAGTCTCTGGCTCAGGGCACATTCCTTTCTGGATCTTTCCAACCTGCACAGCCCACTGGCTGCCATGCATTGATCAGCTGTCCTCCACCAGGCCCTTCTGCCGTGATGTCTCTGCCCTGGAGCCAGCTAGCATGCAGTGAAACGCTGGAAACTGTGAGCCAAATAAACCTTCCTTTGAGTTGCAGGTATCATATATTTTGTCCCAGCAATAGAAAGTTGAATAATATACAATAAGATTGAGAAATTCTCATTTCACTGGATACCCTAATTCATTATTTGGTGGAAAATAGTTTCATTCCAAATGTTTCTTATTTTCTATAATTCATAGGTTAGGATGATTGTTAAAGATTTAACAGCCACAGTTTGGGCCAGCTCTATGTGCCACTGTATTTCTGCCTACCCAAAGCATTTTAAGGTGACATGATGCTTGGTAGAGGTAGGCCTGCTTACTATAGAAAGCACAAAAACACAAAAGGGTTCTGCTTAAACTTCATACAATGTCTTTTCACTTAATTACATTTTCATTTACATAAACCATCATATGTTTCTTGTTATAGTTACAAAATATATACAGAAAACAAATATTTAGAATCAGAACATACATACATAGTACTTTTTATCTTCTCAATTTTTCCCCATGTCACTTTATTATAAATTAAATGATCAGATTTCATCAGCAGGCTTTAGGTTGCTGGGCTTCTGGTCAGTGGTAAAGTAAAGATGGAGCATTGGAAATGTGGGGGTGATGGAAGACATTATGCTGTAGGTCTTCCTTCTAGACTACATCTGGTGTACAATAGGACCAACAAGACCACTGAGGAAACAGATATCCTGGACATTTTACTATCATCAAAACTTCCACTGGGAGTAGTATTTGAAATATAAATAATATTGTTTCTAAAATGCCTTAATTTCTAGAAATGAGGAAATTAAAAAATAAAAAACCTAAAGTTTAAAAAGCTGGGCATATAGGCCAGTGAGATAGCTCAACATACTAAAGTGCCCGCTTAGGCAAGCTTAGGCAAGCAGGCAACACATGCCGCACAAACCCTGCCCCTAGGGCAGGCTGAGCCAGCCAGAGTCCAGGTATAGTGGCATATGCCTATAATCCCAGTGCCGGGGAGGTTGAAAACAGGAGAATCACTATGAGTCTGAGCTTCATGGTGAGATCCTGTAACAACCAAATACATTAAAAAAAAAAAAAAAAAGGCCGAGTGTGGTAGTACACAACTGTAGTCCTAGCACTTGTGAGTTTGAGGGTAGTCTGGGCTATATAAGCGAGTTTAAGGGCAGACTGTACTACATAGTGAGACCCTGTCTCTAAATAAATAAATAGTTTAAATGTTAGTACAGGAGATGTGAATGACTGCTGGTAAGTAGTTACTATAGTAGTCAACGTTTTGTACCAGAGACACTTTCTCTCATTTAGTTATCAAGTCTCTAAGAGATACATTTGTCTTTTGCCTCTGTTTTATCTTCTTAATTTCAATACAGTAATGAATCACTAAACCTGCACATTTCTTTTTGTCACTCAATTATAGTTTTTCCCTGGTGGGATTTTATGGGTCTCACTCCACCTTAATTTACAAGTGAAGTTTGGACGATCCTGGGTTACTGTCTCCAAACTTAATTAGAGATAAAAGACTAATAAAAGAACAGCCATTGTAGTCAAGTGGATACCTTCCCAGCACATCCTCACCTTCCTCGGGTGGCCTTCTGTAGAACCTTCAGGCCCGCCAGACTGCAGGAGTGCCCTTCCAGTTCTCTGTCCTTCCGGATGGTACCCTCCAAGTGCACCTCGCCAAAGATTCCATAGGCATCTTGCACCAGAAGGCAGACTCTGTAAAAAAGCATTCACATTTGGTCTTTGAGGAGAGTTTCAATTAATACAGAGAACATGATTTCCTTTTCCTTCACTAGAAATCCACTGATGTTTTCTTCCTGAATGGCCGAGTCAGGGCAAATGAGGTTAGATTCAAGCACATACTTTTTTGATTTGTATAGGCAGGTGTTTGGATAGCTAGCAACAAAATAAATAATTCTTTTTTGGTATGAAAAGGAAAATTGTTAACCAAATGTGTTTGCAAATCACATACAGATTATAGGACTATCCTCTCAAACCACATATATTACCATTGTTCAGAAAGTGTCCCTTTACCCATTTTTATGCTATTCTCCCAAAAGATTGATATGTTACGTGAATGTTTACTACTGAGCGAAGTTTCAGCATAAGATAGTGATGAGAACAGTAAGGAGCACTCCCTACATTAGGTACTACGTGTCTGTTTACACACATGTACATTCCAGCAGGGTAAAACCCAGGGTCCAGCTGGCAGCAAACTGGACATGATAGATATCTAGGGACATGGCAAGACTTTTTTTTCATTTTTTAAGTTTACAGGTTGATACTTACACTTATGAAAGCCTACTTACGGCTAAATTTCTAATACTTTTACTTCATAATTCAGGTAAGTCGTCTTATTTATTACAAAATGATATATTCTCTTTTTTGTCTTTTTATCCCTCCTTATTTAACAGCAGAATAACCACAATTCATAAGTAGAACTGATTTCATGTGTATTGAGCATAAGCGACTTTCTGCTTATTTTTCTGAAGAGAAAACCCTCCTTTTAAACTGGTGACATGGCTTGCTAGAACTCGTACAATGAGGGAGAAAGCCTGGGAGGCTCAATCAACAGTGACTTCTTCTTGCACAGCTCTGGAGCCTGGGAGCACAGGGGCACGGTGCTGGCAAGACTGGCTCAGTTTTTTCTCAGGATGCTCACCTTTGTTTCCAGAGAGCACCTTGCCCTTCTTCCCGTGGCCTTTGTCCTGAAGTGCATTATGGGCGTTTCTTTACACATCCAACTTCCTTCTTATAAGGCATCACTTAGACTGGCGTACAGCTACTCTAAGGCCTCAGTTTGCCTGAGTGATCTCAATTTACCTATCTCCAAGTCAGCCACATTCTGTGATATCTGTGGTGGAGGCTTCAACACATGAATTTGTGGACAGGTTTAATACAGCCCATGGCATTTTACAAAATGATATATTCTCAAACATTTCACAGAGCCTTAAAAATTTAGCCAGAAAATAATACTACAAAAAAAGACTGTAGGACATAAAAACTATTTTAAAGACAAGAGTATAAAGGAAAAGATCAGATGACACATGAACAACGAGAAGGGTAAAGTTAGGTATCAAGTGCTGCCTTGGCAAAAGGGACAGATAGACTCCCTGATGAAGTCTCCCGGGTCCACAGGACACTGGCTTTCAGGAGAAGCAAAGGGAAACCTTGTCTGAAAGAAGGGTGCCTCTAACTGGACTGCTAGCTTGCCAGAGTGCTAGAGGACTGTACAGCTCTAGAAAGAGCCACTGAACAGGAAAACAAGTATCACATGGGAAAGCCTAGAGAGACAGGAGACCTGCCAAGGACTCAAGATATTAGAATTAAAAGATAAAATTCAGAATAAATATTTTAAAAGGTTAAAAATCAAAAAAAATATTATTAGGAGACAAGAAGCTATATAACATGACTTGGCAGATTTGAAGAAGAATGAAATAGAACTTTCAAAAAGGAAAACTGCATTCTTTGAAATAAGGGTAAAAAAATGGTTACATTCATCTTGACAGTATGTTAATGAGACCTAAATTCTCGGTCTGAAGCAGTTACCCAGAGTGCAGCCTGCAAGTGGAGAGGCAGGCAGGAAGACTGGAGACCAACCACAGAAAACGGAGGAGGAGGCTAACATGTGCTCCTATGGATAGCAGAGGAATAAAACGGAGGAAGAAAAAGAGATCATTTGTAATCTAGTGCCTGAGAATTTTCCCTACTGATATAAGACACGGGAAGAAAAACAAATAAAAGCAGGACAACTGAAAGGAAAACTATTCTAATATATACATTTTCATGAAAATAGAGAACACCAAAGGCAACAAGATTTTATTTTGGGGGGCTGGGGAGATAGCTTGGTAAGTGTCTGCCTGGCAAGTGTAAGGAACCAAGCTTGATTGCCAGTACTGTGTGTCGGGCCAGCCCCAGTGACATGTGGGCCCTGGTGACGTGCTAGCCCTGGAACCCTGGTGTACCTTGCCAGCAACCAGGCTTGGTGCTGCACACTTATAATCCCAGCACTGGATAGGCTGAGACAGGAGGATCACTACCAGTCTGAACTACATAGAGAAACCCTGTATCAAATAAATAGATAATAATTTTTTTCTAAAAACAACCTATTTTTTATTTTGTATGTGGTACTGGGGAATGAACCCAGGGCCTCCCCACCATGGTATGTTCCCAGCACTTTAAAAAACTTAATTTTGATTCACCAGATCCTCTCCCCTAAAATCTTCAGCACATGCTCACTGTTCTCCCTGTGTCCTACCATGTTCATAATTGCCCTGCGCCTAGTACCATTTTCACTTCCTTTAATGCTCCTAGTAGTTTTGTTAA